ACTTTGCCGTTGTTGGGCCTGAATGTATTATATTAAAGTGAAATGACTATCTTACCCCTAATGAGTGTAAAAGCTGTAATGAATGTGGTAAATGACTATTTTGTCCTTTGGGATTTAAACCATTATTTGACCACGAAAAATGACCGTTATACCCTTATGAACTCTAGAACCATTATAATAACGTGAAATAACTATAGTACCCTTGTGTGACCTCGGGTTCGGGTAACGACCCGATTAGCGATCCAGATCCCTGGATTTGGGTCATTACAGTAGACTTCTTCTATAATGATAATGCATGAAATTGACTTGTTTCCAAGCATTTTTAGGTCTTCCAAAATTCTATATAATCTCTCTTTTACTTGCAAATTTTTAAGGCTTTTGGGAATGTTATTTTTCAACTATTTTTAATAAAGTTTTTTGAGAGATATTTTTCAGAAAATCAATTTGATTTTTTTGATTTTATTTTTGAGATCACACACATAAACACAAGAGTGATTTAGGGGTGTTGTTCTCTATTTGACCAGAATTGGAGAATAATTGAAGATTCTGAATTTTCGAATAGCAGGATCTTATATTTCTTCACTTAAAATATAGATTTGAAGAAGATCACAGTTTGAAAAGGTCAAGGCACTTGCAGAGTGTTGTTAATCTACCAGCAATCCAATTATAAGGTTCAAGGAGTAAGTCTGAAGTCGAGAGTTGCAGAACGGGTGGTCGCAAAGCCAAGGGCGTTCAATGAGTTGGGTCTTGGTAGAGTGAATGGGTGTGAGCCTGAGTCAAAGTTTAGTATACTTTGCTGCATAGATAGTGGGTCGTTTACGCTACGGATAGCGCAAAAAACCTTAAGGTTTTCCAATTGGTTTCCTCGCTAAAATTCTAGCGTCATCTCTCAATATTTATTGTTCTTGCTTTACTTTACAAAATTTATTTTTGTGGTTGTGAATGTTTAATTGATCATATATGTGGATAAATTAATCAATCACAAAATTGGGCAAGTTGACCTGATCACCACCTCTAGGTCATTTAAAGAATTAATCACAAATTAATGAACTGATAGCTTCTGCATCGCGTAACTCACACATTTCACAGATGAAAAGACCAAAATGCCCCTCTGAAGGACACTTGTCAATATATAGCATAAATGAGTTCTGAGCTCTATGAAGCAATGTAGCATTCAAGGCAAATATAAAATGATCAAACACATGTGTGAAAAGACTGAAATGCCCCTAAATGTGTCTGTGACCAAGAATACATGTGTTACACCAGAAAATTGCCAATGTATGCCTGTAAACCTGATCTGTGACACAATGTACCTTCCTCACTCAATTTAAATTGAGCTCTCACATTTAGTAAATGACCATACTACCATGTGAGTCACTAAATCAATTTGAGCTCAGCAGAATACATGATATGATACAGTAATGAATCTGTAATCACATTTTTGACATTTAAAGAGTAAACCTAGATAAAAGCTAAGACCAACACCTTTGTATGAGACTATTTATACCAACCCTAATCAGACTTTGGTGTGTGACACACAAGTTTTTTTGTGTGCAAAAATAAGTGAAGATTTTGTGATAGACAATTGAGGGACAATTGTTTGAGAATTGTGAGTGCCTTAATTATTGAGTGAAATTGTCCTACACAAAAGAAATAGCAAGTTGAGAGCTTGAGAAGGGGAACTCTATTTTAATCCTTCATACTTTTATTGTGAAATTTTTTCGATGCGATCCGTTGACGTAACCCCAAGTATCGGGTCAACCATGTATATCTTGTGTTTTTGTGATTTTCCATTCTAATCCTTCATACTTTTATAGTGAAATTTTTTCAATGCGATCTGTTGACGTAACCCTAAATATTGAGTCAACCACTTATATCTTGTGTTTTTGTGATTTTTTTTCTTCTGTTGTTTGATTGTGATTATTTCTTGAACATGATAATTTTTGAATTCCGTCTCACTAAGAAGAAAACAAGTAGCAGGGATATGTTTGTTATTTACCTCAAGAAAAAGATAAGAAAAATAATGGATTTGGTTTACTATTTTTGTGAATCAGAATGTATTTGAAACAAAAAAAAAGTAGTGCATTTGGGGCCTGTTTACTAACAGGAATGATTCCTGATTTTTATTGTCAATTTCTAAAATTGAGAATCAAAAGTAAAAATCATGTTTAATAAAATACTTTTACTTTTTTGTTTTAAGAAAGTACTTTCAAAATTTGTGAAGGGAAGAGAAAGTGAGAAATCCTCACTTTCTCTATTTTCTACACTGTTCATAGAAATTACTTTCTGTACTGTAGCATTATTTATAATAAATAAATAAATAAATAAAAAGAAAAAAACATCTCACTCTTCCTCTTCGCTTCTCGAATTCTTCGCACTGTAACAATGGTGAGAGGCTCATCTCAATCCCAATCATCATCCTCGTCAACCACCAGACCCGGTCCCGTTGGCATGGCACCTCCGTGGCGGACTCAAGATCGCGCCCACTGTCGTCCTCGTCATGAGCCTCTGCTTCATCGGCTTCATCATCGCCCTCCACATCTCCGGCAAGCTCTACCGCTACCGATCTGGTGCCGGAGCTTAGTTTTCCAGATTTTGATCAACCGAATCAGGATCGTCTGTCGGATTCTTCATGATTGGTAATTGAAATGCCACGAAAAAACGTCATAGTGATGATATATATATATATATATATATATATATATATATATATATATATATATATACTCTAAAAGTAACATATTTCAACTGGAAATGAAAAGGTCTCATGTAGGTGTCTTAACAAAAACGAATTCTTGACTAAGCTCAATTCAAAGTTTTGGTAGTGCGATTCCACCAATTCAATGAATGGAAGAGCTCTGCCTCTTACCTATATTTATATATATATGTACACACACACAGAGAGAGTATATAACATTGATTATCAATTTAGAAAACAAAATCAAAATTATAATTAGTAGACTTGTTTTTAATTTCTTGCTTTGAAAATATTAAAAGCATAAAAAATTAGTAAACATAATTCTACTTTATATTTTAGCTTCAGAAATGAAAAGCATGATTTTACTTTTGAAGAAAGCAAAAATAAGAACGTGAAAGCGTTAGTAAACGGGCCCTTGGTTCACTATTTTTGTAAATCAGAATCTTTTTGAATTCATTTCAAATATTGTAAAATTACATAAGTATGAGGATGTTTGTTAAAACTAATTATTGTAATGATTTAAAAAAAAAAAAAAAATGAAAAGTATGTGGAATGCAAGTACATTGTATAAATGAGGGTTAATTACAATGACACCTCTTGAGGTTTATTATAATGACTGGTATATACAAGTTAGACCATTTTTGAACAATGACACCCCTTTAGATTTGATAAAGTTAACAAAGACACCCTCTGTTAAAATTTTTGATCCAAACAGACCCTTAAAAGGTGAGAAAAGACTAGATTGCCCTTCAATAAAATACTAATTTTTTATTTAAAATATCCAAATCTTCAAATGACATAATTACCCTTATTAATCCCAATTTTATCTCTCCATCCTCTCTCACTGAAAAACCTAGAAATTTTGCCCTAAAACCACCACCACCACCATTTCCACCATTGCCACCCATCACTGCCACCTCCACCAAAAAACGAAACAGAGAAATTTTAAATGGGTTTAGTGAGAATTATTGCATACTATTAAATTATTTTTATTTTTATTTTTATAAGTAATAATCAATGTTTTCTCTGTGCCTATCCAACGTGTTTCTTCAATTTTGCGGGCAAAAAAAAAATATATATATTTCTTAAAAGAATGAACAGGGGCTATAGTGGTAGAGAGAGTGGAGGCAGCTGTGGATGAACTGTGGCAAAGCGGTGATGGACTAGCTGTGACGGCTTAATGGAGCCAATAGAGATGGGCTAGTTAACTGCAGCAGTGAACAAGGAGGGACTGTCGGCTTTGATGACGTCCACCGGCGGGCAAGGAGAACTCGGTTGTGGATATCTGCGACCGGCGATGAGAGCGACGGCGAGCTCGGCCAGTGGCAGTGGATCGGTGAGACAGATCCGAATGTCCACCGGCAGGGACTCTCGGCTTTGATGATTTCCACCGGTGGGCAAGGAGAACTCGGCTGTGATCTGCGACTGGCAATGAGAACGACGCCGAGCTCGGCCGGTGGGTCTGCCGTCAACACTTGTTGTAGTCCCTTCCCTGTTTGTGGAGGTAGAACTTGAATCCGGAAAGGAGAAAAGCTCTTTTCAGACCTCGCCGATTTCCCCGGAAACATCCATTGCTGACTCGTTTTCATATCGAACAACAATCTCTCACGTACCAATAGAAAAAAAAAAAAAAAAAAAGAGGAGCGTGCTTAAACCTCTCTGATTCGTCAAATGGAACTTGCATCCTTCTGGGCGTGCTTGTATTCTTAGTCGTCTGATACGCATGACCTTTTCTTTGCCCTTAGCTGAGGGTGATAGTTGTTGAGCTAAGTAGCGAAGGCCTCAAAACTAGATGGCAGTTTAGTTCTTCCAGCCGTGTCATACTCCCGCCCGATCGATCTTGTAAGATCGGCTAATTCAATGGGTTTAATGTGGTCTGAAGTTGTCGAGCTGTGGACCGGTGAGACAGAATCTGGCGAGGGAGGTGAAGATCGGCTGTGGTTGGCGACGGTGCTGCGATGCTTATATATATATATATATATATATATATATATATATATATATATGATGGTGCTGATGTAATAGTGTATATATATAAGGGCAAAATTGACTTTTCATAAGTTCTGATATTTTTTCTCACAAGGAGTGTCATTAAGTTATATATGGTTGTCAATATGTCAAACCTTCTTAGAGTCTGCCGTTGTAATTAACCCTTTTCCTTTAAAATATTTTGAATTTCAACTTTAAGATTTTCTTTTTTAAGTATAATGTGGTAAAAATGTGTATGTATATAATAATAATATAATTAATTAATAGATTTAAAAGATTATTGCTTTCCTAAAACCAGCCCTCTCCGGGGTTTTTGTCAAAAGCTCAACCAATATTTATCTAAACGTACACACCTCGCTCGTAGTCGGCGCTGCAGGAAACTGCAAGCAAGGAGGCTCAAAAATGGGAGGTGGAGGAACACTTCTAAGCCTCTCTCTCTCCTCCTCGCACCGTTTCTCTTTCTCTCTCCTCTCTGCCGCTAGGCGTTTACCACTCCCCAAACTCTCATCCCCACCACCACTACTACCACCACAGAGGGTTTTTCTAGGGTTTAGGCCCATATGCTCCACCACCTCAGCCGCAACTACCACCACCTCCACTGGCGAAGCATTAGAACCCATAAAGCACTCAATTCTCCTCGAAAAGCTCAGAATCAGACACGTCAAGGACTCTACAAATACCCCACAAGCCAGACCACGACAATTACAATTGTTGGGTCGCGAAAGCAAAAGCGATGATGGGTCCAAGAAGAAGAAGAAGAAAAATGGGGCATTGGCTTCGAGCTTTGAGGAGTTGGGGTTGAGTGAGGAGGTGATGGGGGCTTTGGAGGAGATGGGTATTTCTGTCCCAACTGAGATTCAGAGTATTGGGATACCTGCTGTGCTTGGAGGTAATAGTGTGGCTTTGCGTTCTCACACTGGGTCGGGCAAGACTCTTGCTTACATGCTGCCTCTTGTTCAGGTAAAGTTCTAAACTGCATTCATTTTTATTCCATCAATTTGGATTGTTAGATAAATTAACTATAACTAAAGTATTTAACAATTTCAGCCTTGTGAATTTAAATTGAATTTTGGGGATACATACACATGGATTCATCATTTTGTGAATTAAAATAGAATTTTGGAGTGCTATACATACACATGGATTCATCATTTTGTGAATTAAAATAGAATTTTGGAGTGCTATACATACACATGGATTCATAATTACATTAAAAAAAAAAAAATTCCGACTGAAAGCAAGACAGGTAAGTGTAACAATACCCATAGTTAACTCAGCCTGAAAGAAATGCATCAATGGCCTCCTATTGATAAATCTAGTCTATACTCTACACACTAAGGAGGAGAGGGATGGGAGTACTTTCACTTGTTTCTAATCAGAACCCACATATAATTAAGTATCCTATTACTAAGTATTTCATCTACACAAGCCCATCCAGATACAGTTCTGAAATTGCAATGGTTTGAGTTGTCTGCTTGCATTAGTTAGTTATCACCAACCCATCCCAGAACTTTTCTGGAGATTGCAGGGATTTAGCTTCTTTTATTTATCAAAAAAAAAAAAAAAAAAAAAAAAAAGGGGATTTGACTTGTATTTTGAATTATGTCCAGTTAGCTAATAAGATATTTAGCCTCTTTTTGGTACAGTGTTTAATGAGGGAGAGGAAAAACAATGCATTGTAATTTAAGGAAACTAAATTTTCTTGTTTACTTACCATGGAAAACAGGGAGAAAATAATATATGAGAAGTAAGGGATATATATATATGTATTACTTTTCATTTCTCATTTTATTTTTTCAGATTCCATCCTGACTACTTTTGAGGAATTTTTTGTTTTATTTTAGTGAAATTGTAACCTTTTTTCTCCTCCCATTTTGCTTCCCTCGTTAAATCTGCATACCATACTGAGCCTCAAGGTACTTTACAACACTATTTGGTTATGATATTACTTATTATCAGAAAAGCATTTTTGCAGAACTATTATGTTGACACTGAAACAATGTTCACAATCAAAGAAAGTGATCTGTTGATTTTGTAGCTGCTGAGACGTGATGAGGCATTGTCCGGTATGCTGATGAAGCCCAGGCGTCCCAGGGCTGTTATTTTATGCCCCACAAGGGAGCTCTCTGAGCAGGTATTTCGAGCCATTCTTTAACTTTAGGAGCTCTGTCATCTCCTGTAACTTTCCCCTAACAGATAAAAATGGATGGGTTTTGCAGGTGTTTCGCGTGGCGAAGTCCATCAGCCATCATGCACGATTCAGGTCTACCATGGTAAGTGGTGGTAGCCGTCTAAGACCCCAAGAGGATTCCTTGAACGCCCCAGTTGACTTGGTAGTGGGGACCCCTGGCCGGGTGCTTCAGCATATTGAGGAGGGGAACATTGTTTATGGTGATGTCAGATACTTGGTGATTATCTTCTTATGATTTTTTTTTTTTCATTTATGCAAAGAAGAATTCAGTTACCTAATATCTTGGATATATATGTCAATGCTTGAAACTTGTTTGAGTACATGTTTTCTGGTACACTTAATGATGTTTGCATTTTTTTTTATTAGGTCTTGGACGAGGCTGACACCATGTTTGATCATGGCTTTGGTCCTGATATTCGCAAGTTTCTTAGTCCATTAAGAAATCGTGCATCAAAACATAATGGTCAAGGATTTCAAACAGTATTGGTGGCAGCAACCATGACAAAGGTATTCTAACATACTATCATCTAATTTGATTTATGAGACGCTGTTCCTTCATTTACAGCGTTTTAATTACTCATGAAAATGGGTTAGAGCACGCTTATCAAAAAAAAGAAAAAAAAAAAAGAAAAAAAAAAAAAGTGTTAGAGCACATTTTATCTCATTACTTTTTTTTTTCCCCCTTATATCATAGACTTTAAGATGAACCGATTTTGTTATCAATGGCATTTAAAATGAGTCTAAGGTCATTTTGCATCCAAAATGATAGCATCCGTATTTTTGTTTAATTTCTGAACAGTAAACATTTGGTTGGTTCTTTTGTTTACTTGATTTTATGCAATTTCCCTTGTTTGTTCAAATGCTATGGAAGTTAGGGTTTATAAAATTCATTTCCATGTCCTATCCATTTACCCAATTAGTGTATTAACTTGCTTGACATTTGCTCTTTTAGGAACTTTGATAAGTAACCTTAATTTACTTGTTTGAGGTGAACTGGGTAATGAGAATCACATATAAGGACCAGATCTTGTCCATAGTTGATTTTATTACTTAATAGGTTCTTATTCAGACTTGCATGGGACGGACTAATTCTCACACAGCTATTTGCAGCGTTCTCTCTCAAATTGGTGATTTTCCCCATTGCCCTTAGATCCCTTATCCTCTCATTTACTATCAGGCTTTATCACAAATGCATGAACTGCATCTAGCATTAGATGTATCCTTAAAAGTTCTGGAGCCTCATATGTCAGTGACCTCGATTTTGTAGAAATTGTTGACAAAATCGCAAAATATCTTCTAATTATACGTAATAAGTAAAAAATCTCTCGTGAATTCTCATTTGAGGACATCAAAATGTTGATATTCTAAAGGATAATTTTTTTTGATAAATAAAAGTATATTAGAGAGCATTCAAAAGGGAAATGCATCCCGAAGGTTGTACAGAGGCCATAATCAAAAAAGAGGTCCTAGGGGACCCAAAGAACCCAAAAAAATCCATGATTTAATCTAAAGATATACAATCTCTCCCCATAACCCAATTGAAAAGAAAACAAATAATAGAGAATTTCAGCACCCCAATGGAAGATTCTTTCCCATCAAAAGATCTTCTATTCCGCTCCTTCCAAATGCACCACCAAACACAAAGGGGAGACACCCTCCAAAACTCTCGGGAATGGGGTCCCCACCCTGAAGCCTCTCCAACCGTCAATCAAATCCCTCGAGGACCGAGGCATAACCATTGAAGGTCAAACAAACCAAAAATAAGACTCTAGTAGGCAAAAGCCACAGAGAGATTCTATTAGTAATACAGTAAGCTCTCTACTCGTGAAATGTCCATTAGTTCCATTAGTAATGTTAAAATAAAATAAAATAAATAATTATTATTATTCAATAGAGATTGACCCCTTTTTTTTATAAATAAAATTGTATTAGAAAGCGTTCAAAAGGGGAACGCATCCCAAGAGATATATAAGGAACAAAACCAAAATAAAGCCCTATGGGCCTAAAGAACCCAAAAAGTCCACGATCTCATCTAAAGATATACAATTTCTCCCCATCACCCAACTAAAAAGAGAACTAATAATAGAAAATTTCAGCGCCCCAATGGAGGTTTCCTCCCCATCAAAAGATCTTTTATTTCGCTCTATTGTAAAGCATAAAACGGAAGCGAAGAGATAAATATTATGCGGTTCAGCCACTAGGGTCTATATTCACGACACAAAGAGCCCAAAGGGTTACATCACTTTTATAATGCTCTTTCAATTCATATACAATACAATGGTGGAGGCTGCAGAAGTTAGTTTGGAGGTCTAAGTTTGGTTTAAGCTTGCTGTGGTGCTGAGACAAGGATGAGGCAAGTGTAACTTATTATTTTACAGCTGTAGAAAGTATGTTTGTGATCATCTTTTAGTTGCATTTGATTTTGACGTCTCAGACCTCTGTATTAGCTTGTTTTACTAGTTTAGCTTGTTGGTCTGAACCGAACATCACTATATCTTGCCTATAAGTTGCATTATTATCATCTGAGCAAGTTTCTATAGTTGAATCAAGGCTGTTAAAGTTGAGGTTCGCACAGAAATAAGGTCAATACAGAATTTGACCTTGTGAAACCCTAGTTCTTGAAGGTTCTGCGGAACTGAGCCTGTATATGAGTTGTAATTGTGTACTCATGTTGTATTCATCTTGATTATCATCTGAGCATGTCTATAATGAAGATACAAAGCTGTGGATTTCATCTCTAAGTTTGTGGGACACAAAATTCCTATTTTGCCCCTCAAACCCTAGTTTTAGTAGAATGAAGGCAGGGTGTTTGTTCACTCTTATCTTGTGTAATAACTTGAGTATTGTTGTAATGCATCTTTTTATATGTTTGGTGAGCTGTGAGAGCTTGCAGGGTCCAAACAGGATTGCATAGGACAGGGGGAGTGTAGAGTGCACTTAGTGGTGCTAGTGTGTGTAGAGACTGTGAAAGCTAGTGTTTCATCTTGTACAAGGGTGTGTACAAAGAGTGAGACAGCTGAGTGTGTAACTACTTGCATACAACTAGTGGAGATTTTATTGGTTGAGGCCAAGAACCAAGGTATTTCCCTATTAAGAGGGTTTTCCTTGTAAATGCACTAAGTACTTATAAGTGTGTGTAAGCTTGTTGAATCTATCATCATCTTCATCACATTGTATTGATCAAACTAAGAAGAAAAGTTTAAACAAGAACCAATTCACACCCCCTTTTGGTTCATCAATGTCCATTCTTTGTTCCTTTGCCTCGCCGGTTTTTATGGTTCAAATCTCTCGTGGAAGACGGTTTGGCATTCGAAGGTCCCTCTCAAGGTGGCCTTTTTGTTTGGATTGCAGCTTGGGGTAAGATTCTGACTCTGAACAATTTGAGAAAGAGAAGACAAATTACAGTTTACTGGTGTTGTATGTGTAAAAATGATGGAGAATATGTGGATCACCTTCTTTTGCATTGCCCTGTGGCTTATGATTGCTAGTCTTATTTTTGGTCTTTTTGGCATCCATTGGGCTTTGTTTGGTTAGGTGGAAACAGCTAGAAAAGAAAGAAAAGAGAAAATTTTTAAATTTTTTTGAGTTTGGATAGATAGAAAGAGAAACATAATGGAAAATTTAGTTTCCCGAATTGATTATTTTCCCTCAAAATTTTTCCACCAAAAAACACGTGAAATTCTTTTTTCCATGTGAAAGAAGCGCCTATTTATTTGCAGTTCCTATTTTACCCAGTAACTTAATCATGCAAAGTTCTATCCAAAACAATTTCTATTCTGAGGTAAGTTCTCTCCAAAACAACTTCAATTCTAAGGTAAGTTCGCAACTCAAATTATTAAGTTATATATACAAAATATCAATGATAATGTGTAAAATTGCTCAAAATAGATCCTACTTCTAAATAGAATTTTTTATTTTTTTTAATTGTTTGTTCTATATTGCAATTCTAGCCACTCATAATCCATATATATATATATATATTTTTATATGGTGAAATATTTGATTTTTCTCCCAAACAATAGTATTACCTCTTCATCTCTAATTTTTTATTTTTTTTAATTTGTTTATCTTAAACTAATTACTCCCTCCGTCCCATAATAAATGTCGTGTTTGGGAAACCGTGACTCTTGTGAGTCACGGTTTCCCAAACATGACAAGTTGTGAGTCACGGTTTCTCAAACACGACACTTATTATGGGACGGAGGGAGTAATTAGTTTTACTTAAGAAAATATTATGAAGCCTATTCTAAATATAAATAATAGAAATGAATATAAACAATTATATATTTAAATTAAATAATCCACCATTTTACTACATAAGGGTAGTTTTGGTATGCTAATCACTTTTATGCTATCCAAACTAACAAACTAATATTTTTCTTCAATTTTTTTGGATAAATTTTCATGCTAACCAAATGCATGCTAGAAAATCTCTTTTCTTTTCATTCACTTTCACTTTCTTTTCTTGCTTATTTCCATCAAACCAAACAGAGCCTTGGGTTATGCCTCGGTCTTCAAGGGAGCTGACGTTTGGAGGAGCCAGAGGATGGGGGCTAACGCTCGTGACTATTGGAGGGTGGCCTCCCTTTGTGTTTTGTGGAGCATTTGGAAAGAGCGTATTGAAGATTTTCCTCCAGTAATTGATGTTGTTTCCTATTATTGAAGATTTGGTGTTACTAGAGGATTTAGTGGAGAAAAATCCTCTTTGTTTCCTATTTCCTAATTCTTTCCATTCTCATAATTTCCTCTCCTATATAAAGGAACCTCCACCATTGTATTGTGTATGTATTGAGAGAGTATTATAAAAGATGTGGCCCTTTGGGCTCTGTGTCGTGAATGTAAGCCTAGTGGTTGAACCATGCAAGATTTGTGTGTTTTACTTGTTTTATTATCTATTGGCTTCCGTTTTATGCTTTGCAACATGGTATCAGAGCCTAATTTCTCTTCCTAGGTTTAGACCCCTATTTTAGGATATTCCCTTAGCATCTGAAATGTTGCTAAGGGTTTCTCGGTGCTAATTGTGACTTGTTTGGGCTACCGGTTTGTTCGGCAGTAATGTTCTTCGCCTTTTCCATGTCTCCGGCAGTTTATATTGACTTGTTTGGGCTATCGGTGTGTTCGGTAGCATTGTCGTCATCTTTGCCATGTCTTCGACAATTTTTATCGACTTATTTGGGTTGCTGGTGTGTTCGGCAGCATAGTCGTCGCCTTTGCCGTATCTTCGGAAGTTTTTTGTTGACTTGTTTGGGTTGGTGGTGTATTCGGTAGCATTGTTCTTCGTCTTCTCTCTTCTCTCTTCATCATTCACACTTGTTGTTACTCGTCATCTCAATGGCAAGTTGGGCAACTTGGGCATTCATGCTCCAACTTGAGGGGGAGTATTGAATATTTAATAGAGGAATTAGTGGAGGAAAATTTTTCAATAATTGATGTTATTTCCTATTATTGAAGATTTGGTGTTACTAGAGGATTCAGTGAAGAAAAATCCCCCTTGTTTCCTATTTTCT